AAACGAAAAATAATATGTACACTTTATACAGTTATTCACAGCGATCGAGTATTCACGTAATTACAAGTTCCAAGAGCAACTTGCAAGAAGCAAATTTGGAGTTGAAATTTTGCCAAAATTTGATCACTTTTCTCGTTTAAAATAACGTGTGTGCATTGAAGACTTTGTGCGCAATGCGAAATGCTCCTTCCGCGCGTTACTTTTATTAGTGCTTGCCCTTCTACAAAGATCCCGCTGGTTCGAGAAATTGACGCGTTTTCCGGTGACAATTTTTGTCGGGCGTCTTTTGTCTCGAACTGTTTTGGGATCCTTCTTGAAGGGCAATAATTATTATTGTCACCGATGAGTCGGTTATTACCGGGTCTTTTCACGATCGCTAACTGACAGCCCGTGATTGGACGCCAGTGACGTAAATTCTCACTGCCGTGATAGGCGCTCGGTGGCGATTGGTCCCGGGCCGCAATTCGCGCGAGCCGCGCCATGATTCGTGTCGTCATGACGAGTGACAATTACGAGTACGCTCTGCCCTCCTTCCTCACCGCGCTCTTGCCATTAGCTCAATCGTAAACAATTATATTAATCGTATCAAATTATTTCCCGATATTTATCGCGATTGTGTTTGGAAAAGAAATTTGACGGAGCGTTTCGCACTATATAGTTTTATTCAAGTGTTGCCGTACGAATGATAACAAGACTGTAACACGTGAACAATAGAGCGCAATACGTCGTCGAGGCGTATAAATACCACGTTATTGCTAATTCGTTGTCATAATATTTTACGTATTATATCATATGTACACGCGGAATATTAATGTACAAAAGTATTTTAAATTGTAGATTAATTATTTATTAAACGATTGATGTATCATGAAACCTTTTGTAATGCTACACATCCTACGATTTGATTGTTTAATTGCGCGTTCTTAATCCGAATTATATTTAAACAAATAAATATCAAAAAATATCGTTAAAGCATAAGACGAAATATTTTTACTCTAAGTATCGATAGAAAAATAGTTATTGTTTGTATGGATCGCAACAAAACAATAATTTATAAAAAGATATAAAAGTAAGGCTCTTATACGATTAAAATCAAGTAAAATCCGAGTAAAAAGGCAAAAGAGCCACGCGCAGTTTTTAGGGCGCAAAGGTATATAATTTAAACCAAAAAATAAATTAAAAAATTAGAGAATTTCTTTAATTACATGATTCGCGAATGGCGGACGTTTCGGCCCTTTTTTTGGCCATCATCAGCGCAAATAATACTAAACTCAACAATATAAACGGTATACAGAAAGAGTCTTAATCAATTAAAGCGCAGAGTTACATGGTGACCAACGGTAGAAGGCGTGATCCCTCATGTCGCTCCAAAGGCAAAAACCATTCTCCATGTAGTCCATGTTATTTCGGGGCAAAAACCTCGATTCTTTAAGCATGAATCCACGAACATGATGATACGTTAATAATTGTGTCTGTAATTTGCGCGGAATGGTTTGTGTCAAAAAACGAAAAAAGAGAGAGGGTCCGTGTCGGAAATTACAGTAGTAAGACTTACATAAAAGAGACGCAGCGCACAAGTCGACAGCAAAAATTTTTCAGCAACGCAAAGTCTTAACTAAACTCACTAACTAACCACAGAGTAATGAGAGATCTCTCATTACTCTTCTATAGTCTGCAGAATTTCAAATGAACGCGATATAGCGGACGCGCGAGTGAGGAGGGTCTGGACACTAGCTCGGACGATGGAAACGCGATTGACAAAGTCGACTCGACAGACAATTAACAGCACACAGTTTAATAAACGAAAAATAATATGTACACTTTATACAGTTATTCACAGCGATCGAGTATTCACGTAATTACAAGTTCCAAGAGCAACTTGCAAGAAGCAAATTTGGAGTTGAAATTTTGCCAAAATTTGATCACTTTTCTCGTTTAAAATAACGTGTGTGCATTGAAGACTTTGTGCGAAATGCGAAATGCTCCTTCCGCGCGTTACTTTTATTAGTGCTTGCCCTTCTACAAAGATCCCGCTGGTTCGAGAAATTGACGCGTTTTCCGGTGACAATTTTTGTCGGGCGTCTTTTGTTTCGAACTGTTTTGGGATCCTTCTTGAAGGGCAATAATTATTATTGTCACCGATGAGTCGGTTATTACCGGGTCTTTTCACGATCGCTAACTGACAGCCCGTGATTGGACGCCAGTGACGTAAATTCTCACTGCCGTGATAGGCGCTCGGTGGCGATTGGTCCCGGGCCGCAATTCGCGCGAGGCGCGCCATGATTCGTGTCGTCATGACGAGCGACAATTACGAGTACGCTCTGCCCTCCTTCCTCACCGCGCTCTTGCCATTAGCTCAATCGTAAACAATTATATTAATCGTATCAAATTATTTCCCGATATTTATCGCGATTGTGTTTGGAAAAGAAATTTGACGGAGCGTTTCGCACTATATAGTTTTATTCAAATGTTGCCGTACGAATGATAACAAGACTGTAACACGTAAACAATAGAGCGCAATACGTCGTCGAGGCGTATAAATACCACGTTATTGCTAATTCGTTGTCATAATATTTTACGTATTATATCATATGTACACGCGGAATATTAATGTACAAAAGTATTTTAAATTGTAGATTAATTATTTATTAAACGATTGATGTATCATGAAACCTTTTGTAATGCTACTCATCCTACGATTCGATTGTTTAATTGCGCGTTCTTAATCCGAATTATATTTAAACAAATAAATATCAAAAAATATCGTTAAAGCATAAGACGAAATATTTTTACTCTAAGTATCGATAGAAAAATAGTTATTGTTTGTATGGATCGCAACAAAACAATAATTTATAAAAAGATATAAAAGTAAGGCTCTTATACGATTAAAATCAAGTAAAATTGGATCGCAACAAAACGATAATTTATAATTTAAATTTCTGTCACTTCGGTTCTTACTTTGAAACAGGCTCTTACTTACATTTTATCGATTTACAAATAATTTTAATGGATTCATGAGATTCTTGTGATTAAAATGATATCAAACACGTGGATGCAGCACCGATTGTGCGCACCGATGCACATTAAAAGCTATTATAAATAAATTTGTATAAGGATAATTAATTATTATATTTTCCTATAGTTTTAACCGTATTCTATCGTTTTTTAAGGAGTTTTAATTGTTGGCAGCGTTAATTAATTTTTTCACATTTATATGATCGCCAGTGATACTATCAGTTGTCGGATTTTCGCAAAATGTCATAAAATGTCGAAAAATCGCGATATCTTGTTTAATATTGTTTTTTTAGCCTATGAAATGTTAAGAGTGTTTTTTTCTATCTTGTGGAATTCCACTCAAAATTTTAATTAAAAGGCCGGAAATGCAAGAATAATACTTTTCTCGGGAGATTTAGATATGTATTTATACGGCATACGTGAAATTGTGATTCTCATAACACGGAGATCTATTCTATTATAATTGTTATATTTTCCTATAGTTTTAATCTTTCTTCTTTCAATTTCTAAAGAGTTCTATTTATTAATTAATTGTTTCACGTTTACATGATCGCTCGATGTTATATATACTGTCAGCTGACAGATTTTCGTAAAATGTTATACGAAGATTCGCGATTTTTTTTTTGCAATTTTCGCTTTTTAGAATATAATAATAACTTTTTGTATTGTGCGGGATTTTACCTAGATCTCTAATTAAAACACCGGAAATGCAAAAGAGTATTCGTCTCGAGACTTTCAGATATATCTTTATACAACATACAAAAAATCAATTTATGAAATAGAGGTCTATTCTGATTTTCCTATAATTTTAATCGTGTTCTTTCGATTTTTAAGAAATTCTAATTATTAACAACGTTAATTAATTTACTTATGATTGTATATAATTGAAGGTCGCTTGATTAACGTATCTCCTTTAAACGTTGCGTGATTTTTGGAATAAAGTACTATTCTATATATTATAATATAATAAATTTTCTAATAATTCTAACCGTATTCTTTCAATTTCTAGGGCTTTCATTAGCAGCGTTAATTGATTTTTTCATATTTATACGAGTATGATCCCTCGGTAGAAGATATACTATCAGACTTCTTGAAAACGTCATACAAAAAATTGCAATATATTATGCAATATTGGTTTTAGCATTTAAAATCTTAAGTTTTTTTTATATCACGTGTAGTGTGTTTTTTAAAACTCTAATTAAAAATCTGAAAATACAAAAAAGTTGGAATTGTGAAAAAATTTAATTCTTACGAGACTTAAATATATCTTTATACAACATATGAAAAATTGCGATTTCCGAAATGCGGACGTCTATTCTATTATAAATACTTCATTTTTCTTAAGTTTTAACCGTATTTTTTCGAAATCGAATGAGTTTTAATCATTAACAGCATTAACTAATTTTTTCACGTTTATATGATTGCTCGATAGAGATACTGTCCAACCTCCTCTTCGAGTTCTTGTATTTTTATGGCTTATCAAATTCCGTTGTCTCAAGATCGTAGGAGCCTGTTGTGCTTCCTTTTCCTGTGGTCGGAATATATTCTGCGGTTATTTCCTCAAGCATTCTTAAAATATGTTTAAACCACTGAAGCCCCTTTTTTCTATTCTCTCGATTATTGTCTCTTTTGCTTCCATCTTATTCAAAAATTTTGATATAGTAAATATAACTACGGTATCTCTCTTAGTCTGACTATTCCCCCTCGACCTGTCCGGCATGGGTGATCCTACCAGTAACTACATTACCTCCGGCATAGCTTTTAGGTTCATTAACATTAGAATACTCAAATCTCCTCACCCGGCAAATGCTTTTGCAGCGAAATATGTTCTTCGAAGTTTATTGTCGCGATATATATAGTTACATATTATTTATATATATTAATTACGCATCAATAACATAAATAATATAAAATTAAACAAATCTTAGAAAGCATAGCTCTTTTTAAAGCAGCGACAAGTATCTTCAGAAAAGAAAATAAGTCATAAGTGGAGTACAGCAAATAAAGAATAATGGTTCGGCGAAAGTGCTTCATTTAAATCGATTATTTAGGCTGATGATTTATAATGGTCACCAATTACGCAAGCGCGTTACGTGTCGCTTGATTAGAACCACATGATGCAAACGTTCATGCAATAGTCCGTTAAGAACTACATGTGAATAGTGAGCCCTCAAGAGCGCCCATAATATATATATAAGAAACAATTGTTACAAATAGTTGCAGTATTTAATCAAACAAGAAATATAGAAAATATATATGATCTGGTAAAACTTGGCGCATAATGATAAAAATTAAAGATTTATAATTCAGTAATTTCCTGGTTGTCTAATTTAACTTTTTCGAACAATAATTACATATCGCACGTTTCTTTTTATTTGATTGCTTTTCTACTAAATTATATTAAAAGGAACTACAGAAGGAGACTGATAACATTTATATTATAATTTGTGTGATACAACGAATGCATACGTGTCAGTTCAACGTCGTCATTGGTTTTCATAGGAAAAAGTGAGCATTTATTAACCAAAAGTTTTATAATTTGATGATATGTAAGATGCATCGTGATTGGTTATAAAAAGAAATTTTGAAAAGTAGCGCTGGAAAAGATCTCATGATTGATGTACTAAATGAATTTCAAAAAATGATATACGTAAGAAAACATTATCCAGAATATCGATAAAATCACTAGTCATAGCTAAGTCGCCAAGGATTATGCAAAAGCTGACTGAGCGCAAGTATTTACAAAAAATTATTATGTCAGAAACGGTATTATGTGTTTTACTGAAAGTGTCAAGCGAGAGCGAGAGCGGATATCTTGTCAAACTATTCGGATTCAGACTTCACACGGGTAAGAGATTGCTTTGTTGAATATAATTGAATGTTATTATATAGCTAATAATTCATTTGGAAAACTAAAACTTGTATTTGATAATAAAAAATATGTAATGTATAATAATAAAATAAAACTATATAACATAAAACACTAAAAGAGTATGTGTGATGTTATGAACAAAGAAGATATATGGATCTTGGAAATTTTATTTATAAATGAATTTTATATAGTATAAAATTAAGCTTAATTAAGATGGCGTATTAAAACTTGACTGTATTATCTTTTTATTTCTCTCTTTGCTTTTTTTGAAAATAAGTATTTTTGGCATCACTAAGATTTTTTGTTTATTTTCCGCTATGTTAATACATACGGTGATACTTGAACTAATTTTTATGTGATTTTTCTTCAATTCCTAAGATCTTTTAATTTTTCAAGTATTTATAACCATTTATTAGTATAATAATATTTGTAACAAATTAATTTTTATATAACAAGATTAATTTAGAAAGTCAGCATTTTTTTATGTTAAGGATAGTTATACATGTATATAGGTATACATATATAACAAAACAGAGCTACTAAATATCGAAATAAACTCGAGTATCGGTATAATAGAATTTCGAGTTGTATCATAGACATATGAAAAATATAAACCAAGACTTTATACGAGGGATAGCTGATAAATTCGGTAAGGGGGGCATTCATCTGACTTCGGCTATTTTCGTAAGCGCGACTCGGATATGTTCGGCTTTCCGTGACTGCTATTGTAATAAATGATTCTTAATCTAACTGTTATTCATAAGAATGTTTGAAAGTAATATTAAACATTCTGTAATGCTACTTGCGTCATTTTATATATTCTTATACATAGTAATAAATACTATAAAGTCTTTTCTGTTGTTTCTCAAGACCAAATAGTTTTCATAATTTAAAAAAATAAAATGTAAAGAATTTTGCAATACGAAGAAAATTCAGAACCACTGATATAATCTCGCATTTTAAATATAGAACATGGAAAACATATTATTCATTTAATATATTATTTGTTTAACACATGAATATATGTAACAAAATTTATATTTAACATTATTTGATATTGTTTGTAATACTATATTGTTATAAATATATAATGTTAAGGGCATATTACTATCATTCTTACTTAACAATTAATCTAAACTTCTATAAAAAGGATAAATGAGATATATGTTTATATACGTTTTTTTGTTCTTTTTATTGGCCTTTAAACAATATTAACTTACTTATCTTATGTCTGTCGCTTATCTCTACATTTTGTATATATTGTGTCAATTTTGTTTTCGCATATAATTGTATAATAGCATGCAATAAATGATTTAAATGATTTGTAAAAAAGTTTTGATCATTAATATTAACATTCTCTTCATTCCAAAAATATATTTTTATCTATAAAATGTACCATAATATCATTTGTAAACCTATTCATATTAAACTAATCAAATGTTTGATGTATATATGTATGTGTATATAAGTAGTCAATGTATTTTCAATTTGTTTACATATGTATACAAGAGTTGATGGATATAATAATGGCCCTCTGTTTGTAATATTTATTAAATTACAATTAAATTTATTAAATTTATTACGCAAGAGCTCATTTTTTGCAATATATTCTTATAGACTCTTTTATTTTATATATTTTAAACATTAATATTTCCTTAATAATATTAATAAAAGAAATATTATATTTTATTTATTATTTCTATGGATATCACTATAACAAACACAATATACATATGTACATTTAAGCCGAATGTTATCGAGTCTTACCGAAATAAGCCGATATCAGACGAGTTCCCTTCTGCCCCGGAAATCAGACCCCCCAGCGAATAGCAGCTCATACTCGGTCTATGTTTTTTATATGTCTATGAGTTGTATAATAAACTATTAATAAACCATAACAATAAATCTAACAGTCACAGAAATCAACACATATCAATCACATCATCACATATCAATATATACGCAACCAGCTAATTTTTTGCCTTTGACTTTATATCTAATTTTAATTGTAAATATATCCATTAAATAGCTATATACATACTATCTTATCTAGGTGTAATGTAGGTTAATTATAACATCATATTCTCCAGAATTTGTTTGCGAATATATGATGATGTAATTAAAAAAATGTAACGATAACCGGAAAGAAATTCGATAAAAGTTCAAATATAAAAATTTATACAATTTTTATGACCATAAAAATACAATATTTATAACATTTATATTCTTGAAGATAAACAAACATTGTTGAAACTTTAACGATAAACAAATTTTAAAAAAAGAATTGTGTTAAGATAAAGTCACTTACTTTGAGAAGTTAACTAAGTTACCGTAAAAAAGAACAAATCGTTCAATAAAATTGTTTCAACAATCGAAAAGAGCTACACTGTCATGTATTATTTGCTAGATGGAACGGTTATATGATTTCTCATTAACCCTCATCTATTCTGCGTGACTTTGGACTATCGCACACAAATTAACACAGCTATAGTATATGCATAGCAAACCGTCTGATTGAACGAGCATCGATTAAGTCACCATATTCATTTACGTAACATGCTCGTGGTCCAGACGGTCTTATTGACCTTTATTTAACGCAGCTATGTCAATTTGTGTATGATAGCTCTTTCTGTTTGATATAAGAATCATGTTTGATATGCAAAAAGATCTTGCATATAAAAACTGATAAAAATAGATTTTTGAAAAGAGTCTCGAAGAACAATAAAAACAGATTTTAAAAAAAATGTAACTACGCTGTATTTTTTAAACATATTATTAATCAGGAGAGGTACAAAGAAAAATATTATGCCTATATGATTAAACAAACAAGAAATTTCATGGTAGATTTACTTATTTGTACATATATTAATTATCATTAGAAGTACCGGAAGTAGCCACGTGTTTGGCCCGGCAGTGCTTACTTAATTCTTTTCGTATGTTATACTTTATCCAGGATATTTCAGTATCCGAGGACAACGATTATCACATTTTACAAAACATCAAATCTGACCGGAGACATCCTGATAGTGCGAGTGTGAGAAACAAAATTGATGAGATTCCATTTGCAAATATGTCCGTGATCCCAAAATCTATTGGTAAGTTGCAAAGAAATGCATAAATTGTTAATAAAAAAAGTCTACGACAAAAAAAATTGTGAATATAATTTATGTTACGTCCAGACTCGAGGAAGGATGAGTCGACGGAAGGGCGCAACAACTATCTTTAATTTTCCCGAAATTAAACGTCTCGTGGCGTTTGGAATCGGGTCGAACGAACTGACAGGTCTGAAAAGCAGGTAAACGACTGAGTCGCTGTTACGCTGGTTATTCAGACATTCGTTTGGTGGTCCCTTTTTGGTAAGACAATTTAATCTCTTTTACGCGGGATGGGACCAAATGCGATCTTTCGACTAGAGGAATGAGTGGGGGGTTTAATAAAGAGTTACTTTGATTTTTAAATTAACAAAATGTAAATTTATTAATTTTAAAGTAAATGGTGGATATACATGATTATATAAAAAAAAAATTAAAATAGAAAAATTGTTGATTATAATTTCTCGGTGAGTGTACATGTGTATGTGTGTGTTTTTGGTTCGCGGGTGTTACATTAATACGCGGAGGACATCAGTCAGAAATGGAATAGAATGATTTACACTGTTAAATTTAGATTCTGACTGGTTAATACAATATAAAAATATATTTGATTAAAGGATAAAAACATAAAATCAAAATCAATATGTATAAGTAAATAAGTGTATATGTTAAGAACGGTCAGAAATATAAAATTAGTCACTCGCATATGTGTTAGATTAAGATCAGGATTTAAAAAAATTTTTCTAGGACTTATTACCGAAACGGGTTAATGATTTAAAAGAATGAAACATTCTTCGAAAAGTTTTGATTTAAATAAGAAACAAGACAAAAAGGAGGAAAAGAAAAATTATTCAATTAAACTTACTTTTTTCAATAGTAATTCAGAGGTGGAGGGGTGGCGAATTTTTGTACGGTGTTTCGCTCTGTGTCTCATGTCGGCAATCCGATGTTCGATTCGTGGTTGCTCTGGAGATGATGCCAAGTGAGGACACTGGTGGCACAAGTGCCTAACTCGCGAATTACGGTGCAAAAGCACAGAGTAAGACTGCGTGAAGCTGAAGACTGGAGAATAAGTGCGTAAGTGAGTTCGAGTCCTCTTTTTATATTTCTCTTTTCGGGGTGTATTCTAATTTCTAAGAGTGGGAATCTTCCAAAACTTTAACGAATTAAAAGTTGTGCCAGTGTCCTCATTAGGCGGGGTGTTTCTCCTACTTTTCAAATTTTCACTCATGACGATCGTCGATTGGTGATCAGTTCAGAGTCCCTTGAGCTCTAGGTTTCTCTTACGCCCGTGATTTGATTTAGACAAAGTCCAAATGTGACGTCACAAAAGTTTCGTCATTATTTATTTAGTTGTATTCATCGGATGTTTTGTGAGAATTTTATTATCTTTTCGTTATCAGCGTTTGAGAATGCTACTGCGAGGGTATCTACTGGTTCTTATTTATTTTTCGGCGACCGGCGCGGTTTCGTCGCGTCTTTCTCACGGTTACTCATAGATATAGATATTGATAAGTGACTAAATGTTTAAGGAATGTGTGACGCAAGATGCTCTATTTACCGAACGACTCATTTCTATCACCGATCGATTATCATTGCCGCAACTTCGTGGAAGGAAGGAATCGTGGAGTCACCAGGACGTAACATTTACATTTAAAAGAAAATATAAATAAAATATAAAAAAATATCTTTCAATACCGAAAAGAATATAAATTACATTTTGCCGCAAAAAAGAAAAAAATTCATATTATGTTAAATTAATTAAGATTTAATATAAAGCAGTTAATTATATTATTTAATTTTGGTAGTTTATTTTTTTTAGGACAATAGCAAATATTATTTCTGATAATACTTCTGATTTCTTAATCAATAAGATATTTCTGAAAAACGTTTAATGTTTTGCTAAAAATTTCATATTTGTTTTTGTTCTGGATTAATAATTACTTTTTTGAATCTTATAAAACATGCAAAAGTTTTATATATTATTTTATTATTTAAAAAGTCAACACTTGCTGTGCTAATTTCCATATTTTGTAATTTATGTTTATTATTTTCTTACTTTTATTTTTACTATAAATTTTTTCTGAGTTACTGAGATAATCAAGTTAATGTTCTTGTATATAATTATGCTAATATGTGAAATCTAAAAAATTCTAGAAAGCATTTTGAGCGAACCAACATCTTACAGAGCATTTGTAGAGTTCCGTAATGGATTCCTAAATGAAGAAGACGACATTTTTGTGACATTTAGGTAAAAAATCTAAAATCTCGGTCTGTATTCTTTTAAATTTAACGATACATACATATAAAAACGTTGATCCTGTTATAATTTTACTAAATATGAAAAGGCCAAAATAATTTTTTTACAGATGGAACCAACCTAAATTTACAGAGAAGTAATACAAGGATACACAGTGCAGTGTTGGTTCATCGAGAACCAAAAAGAGATTCAAATCTGCAACGACGAAAATATCTCAGCTATAATATTGGAGTGCACGCTACACAATCTAAAACAAGAGATTATCCAGTAGCCAATTCTTAGTATTTATGTCGTCAATTTATATGAAAAGAAAACGTGACATATTGAGTGCGACGGAGCACATAGACAAATTTTTCTGAAAGATTTGAACATTTTTTCCATCAAGATTTGATTGCATTGTCTGCGGGTCACTACCCTTGCTGTAATTTGTCCAATATAAAATTCTAAAAAATGTATGCATTATTTTATATATTATGAAACATTATTATAATAATAGCAGAAAAAATTATATATATAGTGAATATTTAAAATTCTTATAATTAAATTTGTGTTAATTTATTATTTTTTAATAACTTTTGATCTTAATTACAAAGCCATGTGAAATTATTGAAAAATTACAAATCAATACAAATTTTTAATAGAAATATTGTGCATTTATTTCAAATGTATGAACGTATTTCATATGGCTTTGTAGTTAAAATCAAAAGTTATCAAAAAATAATAAATTAACATTAATTTAATTATAAGAATTTTAAATATTCACTATATATATAATTTTTTCTGCTATTGTTATAATAATGTTCCATAATATATAAAATAATGTATACAGTTTTTAGAATTTTATATTGGACAAATTACAGCAAGGGTAGTGACCCTCAGACAATGCAATCAAATCTTGATAGAAAAAATGTTCAAATCTTTCAGAAAAATTTATTGATGTGCTCTTTTGCACTCAATATGTCACGTTTTCTTTTCATAAAAATTGACGACATAAATACTAAGAAACCGCTAATTTATTGGCTACTGGATAATCTCTTGTTTATGACGGACATTAATGTTTCTATGTGTAATTTGATTTTACATACAAAAAATTCGACTATCAAGTATACTTCCAATCTTTAGCAATTGATAAGACAAACATTTACATTAAATTTGATTATCGTATATGTTTTGAAAAAAGTTATGCACTTCTCGAGAGCGTAGACTGCATTCAAATACATTCAAAAAATAGAAACGTCTTACACGATTTATAAATTTCATGCTTTTGGTAAACCTTTGCAATTGTATTCTCCGACGAGATGTCTGACACCTGACAAAATAATTTACAACGTAGAAGTAGTGATGGTAACGACGAACAGCATTATCGTAAATCTTCTGGAGACGGTCCATAAGAGTGGATGCAAAAAGTACAACTTACCTACCACGCTATATACAATTAACATAACATTGTGTGGATAATGAGCTTAATAAGTTCGATAATTCCACCGTGCAGACGTACAAGTGATGTTACGAGATTCAGAATTTAACGCCGCTTGCAGAGTACAAGTTACTGCTAATCCTAAGCAATTTTTATTCTAATCAGTTAGCGATGAACCTGTTATTTGGCTCAGAAGTGATGTTGACAACTAAACCGAGTAAGCTCGATGCACCGGAAATTGTGACAGTTCAGGCTCTAACGCCTGCTATAGCGGCAGTTTATTGGATGCCACCCAAGGAGCTAAACTGCGGGTCCGTGATCTATGAAGTATATTGGACGTTATTTATCAACAGTACACGACAAATAAACAAGCTATCTATCAATAAGACGAACATAAGGTAGAGAATCAATTTTTCACGATAATCGAACCGTTGATACTAAGACAGAAATATAGGGTATTTGTACGCATATATCCAGCCAATTTCAGCGATCATTATAATGACAGTTTGAGCAAAATCTTGTACATGTATTCGGAACCAAACAATATAACTTTGAATGAGGTTAGCATAAACGGTATGAATATCTCGTGGATTCCTAACGTTAATTTGACGATTCACTACGTATTGGAATACAAAAATGTTTGGACGCAGGAGTGGCAAATTGCAGACAACTTTGAGAAATAATGGGGGGAATGTAATGTACTATACATATAAGAAACTTACTACCAGGAACTCTATACGAGTTTCGTTTGATACTAAAATACCCCAAATACGAGAAAAACTTTACATGGCCGTCTGATAGAAGATTTACTTTTTCAACACTGACAGTAAGCAAAGAAAGATATTATAACATTATATGCTTATTTTAGATATAAAAATGTTTACAAAATTTAAGAACTTAGAAATTTGTAATAATAAAATTATAAATAGAAATAAGTTTTTAAATAAAATGAATATATTGAGAGTATATTTTTTGCGTAATAAAGGTGATATTTCGAGCACTCCTGGAATATCGGTTATGCAATATTACATATCATTCACCGTTAGCTTTGTCGCTATAGTTACTGTAATCTGCGTCTGCTACTTTTACTACTGTAAGTATATTTGATACGCATTTAGTTCTTTAATTGCAGAAAGAGAGAGATTATATCTAATGCATTATAGTATATAGAAATTTTCTAAAAAAAATAATTTACTTGTTAAAAAAGCGATGTAAATTTTGCAATGCATATTATTAGATAAGCATATTGTAATTTTATAACAGTGTACCGACAACGCAAAGAAAGTAACGAGCAAATTTTGCCTCCCGTAATTACCGACATCGAATTAGCAATTCTACATGAGATATCGAATTTTTGGATAATTTTTTCAATGTTATTGTTCAATGCTAATTTCTAGATATACAAAAATTGAAACAGATACGCATTTCTCGATACAAATAATTACATAAATAACTTTTTATAAGAGATTATAAGTAATGCAAAATTTTTAATAACATACATATGCACTCTACTATGTATTTTTCGTTAAATTATTTAATACAAAATGAAATATATAATATTACTTGACATTAAACTATATATTTTTTAATGAAAAATAAATTTAAGTTTATTTTAAATATTTTGCAGGTGTTTCGAGGAACAGTAAAGAATTTAGAAGGACCGGGCATAGAGATATCCGCTGCCATAAAAATGCTTCGAAAAAATGCTTCCTCGCAAGAGAAAAAGAAGTTTTTAGAAGAGGCTAGACTTATGAATCACTTTCGACATAAACATGTGCTAAGATTGCTGGCCGTCTGCATAGACGAATATTCTCCATTAATTGTGTTGGAATTAATGGAAATTGGTGATCTGCTACAATATTTGAGAGACAGTCGAAAATTACAACCCTCAGATTCGCACATTCTGCGTCTGCAAGATTTGTTTCCTATGTGCGAAGATGTTGCACGAGGCTGTTGCTACTTGGAAAATCTGCGTTTCGTTCATAGAGATCTCGCTTGTCGAAATTGCTTAGTATCCGCCAGAGATCGCGAAAACCGTGTCATTAAAATTGGCGATTTTGGACTAGCTAGAGATGTTTACAAAAATGACTATTATCGCGTGGTAATTACAATTATCGTAAAAAAATGAAATTTTTTAGAAATGTTTGTGTTCTTTTTTTGTCGTAATGATATAATATATTTTTACTTTGAGTAAAACTTAAGAAAGATGGATTATTTCTGTTTATACATATAAAGCAAGGGATAAATAAACGTTTTTCGTTCTAATACAAATGAGCTTAAAATGGACAACATAAACCAGATGATTAACTTTGCTAAAATCACTTGTTTTAGAAAGGACAAGGTCTTCTTCCTGTTTGCTGGATGGCACCGGAATCTTTGTTGATCGGAATATTTACTTCCCAGAGCGACGTTAGCCAATTTCAGCGATCATTATAATGACAGTTTGAGCAAAATCTTGTACATGTATTCGGAACCAAACAATATAACTTTGAATGAGGTTAGCATAAACGGTATGAATATCTCGTGGATTCCTAACGTTAATTTGACGATTCACTACGTATTGGAATACAAAAATGTTTGGACGCAGGAGTGGCAAATTGCAGACAACTTTGAGAAATAATGGGGGGAATGTAATGTACTATACATATAAGAAACTTACTACCAGGAACTCTATACGAGTTTCGTTTGATACTAAAATACCCCAAATACGAGAAAAACTTTACATGGCCGTCTGATAGAAGATTTACTTTTTCAACACTGACAGTAAGCAAAGAAAGATATTATAACATTATATGCTTATTTTAAATATAAAAATGCTTACAAAATTTAAAAATTTAGTAATTTTTAAT